TTGTGAGACTGACCTGGAACTCACTATGTAGCCCAGGCTGGTCTCGAACTCACAGCGATCCTCCTGCCTCAGCCTCCCAAGTGCTGGGATTACAGGCGTGCGCCACCATGCCCAGCCTAGAAATACTAATTTTTGTTAACTACAGAAACCCCAGGTACAAGAAGTGGTTAAGGTTAGCATTCTATTTCAAGAATCAGAAAACTGAGGCCCAGAGAGGCTTGGTCTGAAATCCAGTCACAGCTGTGAAGTGTCCAGGTGGGGTTAGAATTTGTGACCTTGGAGTTCTTTAAACTCTTGGCCTCCGCCTGGTCTTTGCTGCCTCTGGAAAAATCCTCATCTGGATTGAACTGTAGAAATTCATGGAGCTCATAGGCGTTACCCAGGGCCAGATGACGGTGCTGAGGCTCACAGAGTTGCTGGAGCGAGGGGAGAGGCTGCCGTGGCCAGACGGGTGTCCACGCGAGGTGAGCCGCCCCGCCTTTCTCCGGCCCCCTCCCCATTCTTGAGCTCCCCCAAAGCAGCGGTCCTGGTCTGCTTTCTGCCCCTCCAGATCTACCTCCTCATGAAGAACTGCTGGGAGGCCGAGGCCTCATTCCGCCCCACCTTCCGGAACCTTGTCCCCATTCTCAAGTGGGAGCAGGAGAAGCACCAAGGCCAGACTCCTCTGTCGTTCAACGTGTGCTGAGCCTGAGGGCACCCACCCACGAACACCGCAGAGCAGGAGGCTGGCCTGGCCTGGCCAGGTCTGCTCACCCTTCTGCTGTGCAGGGACTCTCCTCCAAAGGCCCTGAGAGACCAGGATGGACACGGGCTGAGCAGGCCTTCTGCTGCTGACCAGCACGTGAAACCCGTCTCCGCTGGCTTCCCTTTCACTGCTGGCAGCTGCTGTCCTTGTGGCCAACAACTCGGGTCTGCTCTGTACACTGTGGCTGCACCAAGGAGGTCACTGTTAAACTTCTTGCTCAATGTGTTGGTGCACATCTGAAATCCCAGCACTCAGAGGCTGAGGCAGGAGGGTTTCAGCTTTGAGCCCAGCATGTGCAATTCAGCAAGACCCTCTTTCAAGATTAAAAAAAAAAAAAAAAAAAAAAATCTGGGAGTAGTGGAGCAAGCCTGTAATCCCAGCACTCTGGAGGCTGAGGCAGGAGAATACCAAGCCTGGAATACATAGCAAAAGCCTATCTCAAAAATAAAAAGATAGGGTGGGGATTTAGTTCAGTGGTTCCACCGCCTTCCTCCCAAACTCAAGGTCCTGAATTCAATCCCTGGAACCAAATTAATAAAGAGATAAATTACTTTTAAAGGTCTGAAGATGTAGCTCAGTGCTACATCCCCAGCACCAAAACATAAGGGGATTCCATCCCCAGCACCAAAAAATAAGAGAAACTACCACCTCTACTTGTGCCAGTGCCTGATACACAGATGGTGCCTGTTATTACCTGTTAAATGTGCAAAATCTGTAGGGGGTGGGGCGCGTGTGCCTCATAGATTTGACTGCTAGGTTCACTTTTCCTTGCTGTGTGACCTCAGAGCAGTGTCTTCACTTCTCTGGGCCTTGGCTCTGGGACAGTCTGGCTTGCTCTCCCATAGGACTGATGTGCAGTGTCTGTGAGGGGATGTGTGTAGGTTGCTTAGCAGAGAGACCTGCACTGGTGCTTAATAAACGTTGGGTACTATTTTTATTCAGTTTTTGGTTTTCTATTGCCTTGGTGGGTGTTCGGTCAATGGTAGCCTTAAACACACTGTGTAGTCCAGGCTACTCACAGCGCTCCTCCTGCCTCAGCCTCCTGAGCACTGAGATGACAAAACTCCATAACGGAGTTTCTGACCTTATATGGCCCTTGGAGGAGTCGTCACTGCACCCAAAGCTGGTGGAGGGGCGGGGGGTCAGGCTTGTGCAGTCCATGGGATGGGAATTAGGGCTGGGGTCCCACCAAGGGCTGCCGAAGACCAGGCAATGCACAGAGCCTCACTCTGGTCAACCGGGCAACACACTCAGTTGTTCCCTTGTATTTGGACCTGGATCTGGGTTAAAGTTGAACTCAGAGTGTGGATCTAGAAATCAGGCTCCAGAGTGGGTCTGCACCTGTCCCTCCCGCCGTTTCCGGCTATCTCCCATTGCAGTCCTTTCAGATTGGCTTCTTTAACCTTTCCAAATGAATGCACGCTCCTTTTGTTTATTTCTGTGTCTTGAGAGCTCTTTTTAGTGGTTATTCCCCCCCCCCCGCCCACACACTCCTGGTTTCTGGGACTGGGATGGAACCCAGGGCCTCACATGTGCTAGGCAAGGACTCTGCCACTAAACTGTGCCCAGCCCTTCTTAAATTTTATTTTCAGAGAGCTTCCCTAAATTGCCCGGGCTGGGCTCAAACTTATAATTCTCTTGCCTCAGCCTCCCAAGTGCCTGGGATTACAGGTGTGCACCACCACTCTAGGCTTCCATTTCTTTTTTTGTTGTTATTTCTTTGGTACCAGGGATCGAACTTAGGACCTTGTGCTTGCGAGGAAGACCAGGCACCACTGAGTTAAATCCCCAGCCCGGCTTTATTTCTTTTTAGTACTGCATAATACTGCACCATCTGGATATACTACAGCTTATCTATTCCCCACCTGAAGGACACCCTGGTTACGTTTTTGGTACCGGGGATCGAACTCGGATCCTTGTGCTTGCGAGGCAGGCGGCAGAACCACTGAGCTAAATCCCCGGCCCAACCCAGGTTACTTCTAAGTTTTGTCAGGTATGTGTAAAGCCACAATCAATACCCACATGCAGGTTTTTGTGTGGATATTCATGTTACTTTTTTTTTAAACATCAATTACTTTTTTAAACCTTTTATTATGCATAATTCAAAATAAGTTCAGAAATAGGGATGGCCAGGGATTTGGCTCAGGGGCACGGTGCCTGCCTCACAAGCACAAGGTCCTGAGTTTGATCCCCAGTACAAAAAAACAAATAAACAAACTGAAACTGTATTCATTAAACACTAATTTTTCTTCCCTTCTTTTTCTTTCTTTTCTTTTTTTTGAAAAAAAAAAAGGGATTGAACTTGGGACCTTGTGGTTGCGAGGCATGCAGTAGAACCACAGAGCGAAATCCCTGGCCTTTCCCTTCTTTTTCTAGGAATCGAACTCAGGACCTTACGCTTGCCAAGCAGGCACAGCACCACTGAGCTACATCCAAGACCCTCAGTTTGTTTTTTAAAAACATGTTCTTCCTATGTGGTTCAGGCTGGCCTTGAACTCACTATGTAGCTCAGGCTGGCCTCTAAATCATAGCAATCCTCCTGCCTCAGCTTCCCAAATGCTGGGAGGGCAAGCATGTGCCATCTATCTAACTTGTCTCAGAGTTTCAGTTTGGAAAGATGAAAAAGTTCTGGAAATGCGTGGTATTGGCAGCTGTGGTGGCGAAAGTCTATAATCCCAGCACTCAGGAGGCTGAGGCTGGGGGATCTCAGCAAGTTCAAACCCAGCCTGGGCTACATAGTTGCCAGCATGAAGTACATAGGGAGATCCTGACTCAAAATAAAAGCGTGGTATTGGTTAAGCATTGATGTGAGTGCATTAATAAATGCTACTGAACTATACAATTAAGCCGGGCTTGGTGGTGCACACCTACAATCCCAGCATTCTGGGAGGCTGACACAGGAGGATAAATTCCAGAGCAGCCTTACCAATCTGCAGAACTGAAAACAAAACAAAAAGAAATCTCACCTTTCGGCATCAGTCGGTGCCGGAGACCTCTGTTAACTTCCTCTCTCGGCGGATCACACTCCTCGCACCGGAAGAACACCTCCCCACCCCCATTATTCAGTACTAGAGACGGAGGCACTGCCAATCTCCTGAGCTTTTCCTGCAGGCTCCTTCGGGGACCAGCTGTGCAGCTGAGACGTCCTGTGCCTGCTGGTGACTCCCACCTGCCGTCCAGTTTGGGCTCCCATCCTAGGCCTCTGGGGACAGAGCCGCCCCCCTGCCCTGGGCCAGGCAAGGTGCAGCCCAGACTTGTGCAACCCTCACCCTGGCTTCCGCCTCCACCCTTGAGGCACCTTCCTCTTTGGTACCACCATGATGGCTGCCAGACAGCTGTGGGGAGCCTGTGCGACCATGTGGGTCTTCATGCTGCTGCTGTGCTGTCTGCTGCCCCAAGGTGAGGTGGCCAGGCTGGGAGGACTGGGCTGGGCCCTTAGCCAGGGTCAAGAACAGAAAAAAGTGAAGCATCCAGCTGCACTAGGCCCAGGCCACGGGGAACCCTTCCATTACACCCAGCACTGACACGGGCTCCAGCAGCAGCAGGGAGAAAGTTCTAATGGCTCCTTAATTCAGCCTGGGCATGGTCAGATCCCAGCTTGTGACGTACTCCCTGCAACACGCAGTCCTCTCTCTCTCTTCACCACTGCCCTGACCTCCAACATTTGCCTCTGCAGTTCCCTCTGCTAAGATCACTTTCTCTTTCACTTGGCAATTTTCTACTCACCCTTCAAAACTAGCCAGTGAGTAGGTGAGGTGCTGCACGCCTGTGATCCCGGCACTCAGGAAGGAGGCTGAGGCAGGAGGATCTCTGTGAGTTGGAAGCCAGCCTGGGCTACACAGTGAGACCTTGCTTTAAAAAAGAAAGAAAGAAAAGGGCCGGGGATTTAGCTCGGTGGTGCTGCCACCTGCCTCGCAAGCACAAGATCCCGAGTTCAATCTCCGGTACCAAAAACAAAAAAAAAAAAACTTGGCCCCGGCGGCCTCTTCCTCCTGGATGCCTTTCCCATCACCTCTTCCTGTTGGCTGGATCAGAGTTCCCCAGCCTGACTCTGTGCTCTGCCAGTCCCTCATTGATTCCATCTCCCTCACCAAGTCGTGGAGGGAAGTGGCACCTGCTGCTGGGTGGGTGCAGGGCAACAGAAAAACCACAGGACACCACCTCCCTGTTCCCCCAGGTGCCCAAGAGCAGATGTTCCCACTGCAGCTGGAGGCCCCCGCCGCTGTGCTTGCTGCGGGCTCCGTCTTGGTCAACTGTAGCACTGAGTGTCCCAGCCCCTCAAACCTCATGCTGGAGACGTCCCTGTTGAAGCAGCCAAACGGCAGCAGCCCTGGCTGGGCAGCCTTCTGGCTCAGCAATTTGACTGAGGACACCAAGATCATGTGCTCCGTGCTGTGTGGTGACTCGCAGGTGATAGCTTCCTCCAACATCACCGTATACCGTGAGTGAACCTGGCTGGAGGTGGGGGTGGGGCTCGGCCCCACACCTGGGAACTCGAGAGACAGACCTGACAGAGAGATGCACCTCAGCTGTATGCCGGGGCTGCAGCTGCACAATCGATGACCTTGGGTCTCAATAAGCCTTTTCAAAAGTATTTTTTTATTGGTGGTGGCACACACCTGTCATCCCAACACTTTGGGAGGCTGAGGCAGGAGGATCACTACAAGTTCGAGGCCAGCCTGGGCAACCTGAACTACCTAGTGAGACCCTGACTCAAAAAAAAATTTTGGGGGGGTACTGGGGATCAAATTCAGGACCTTGCACTTGCAAAGGAGGCAGAGACACCACTGAGCTAAATCCCACCCCACCCCCAAATTTAAAAAAAAAATTTATTTAGTTATCGGCGGTGCCAGGATTCAAGCCCAGGCCTCAGGCATGCTAGGCAAGTGTTCTAACCCTAAGTAAGCTACACCCTCAGCCCCCAAATCCCTGCTCTCAGTAGATGAAGGCTTCCTCTACCCCCTCACTGGTTTCTTAAGGGTCATCCCAAGTTTCTCAGCATTTACAAGAACAGAATAAACCAGGCACGTTGGTGCATTCTTGCAGTCCCTTCACTCTTGGAGGCTGATGTAGGAGGATCACAAATTCAAACCTAGGCTGGGCAATTTAGCCATTTGGGATTTCGAAGTAGTATGTAATTGTCTTTGTACCAGCTGCAGCCCTCACTCAATTTAAACTTTGGAGCCTTCAGGATTTTTTTATCTAGATCTTCACCATTCCTCTAACCCCCTTTTCAAACACCCGCTTTGGCTGGGCATGGTGGTGCACACCTATAATCCCCGGACTCAGGAGGCTGAGGCAGGAGGATTACCAGGAATTCAAGGCCAGCCTGGACTACGTAGTGAGTTCAAGGCCAGCCGGGACCGCAGTGAGACCCTGTCTCAAAAAAAACAAACAATGGAGGGTGAGAAGGGAGGGCAGGGATATGGGGGTAAAATGAGAACCAGACCTGTCAGGTAAAGGTACAAGATCCCAACGATGAATGGAACTGTGCTGTATACTTAAAAAGTGCCAATAAAGTCAATGAAAAAAAAAGAAAGAAAAATTTTAAAGTATACCAAAAGCCAGTTTAGCAATTTGGTGAGGTCCTGTCTGTAATCCCAGGTACTTAGGAGTCTTCCTGAGGCAGGAGGATGGTAAATTCAAGGCCAGCTTGAGCAATTTAGTAAAACCATCTCAAAATAAATAAATAAAACAGGGCCGGCTGATAATTGCCATTGTCCTCTCCTCCTGGTAGGTTTTCCGGAGGAGGTGGAGCTGGGCCCCCTGCCCTCCTGGCAGCCAGTGGGCGAGAACCTCACCCTGCGCTGCCTCGTGGTGGGTGGGGCGCCCCGGAACCGGCTCACGGCGGTGCTGCTCCGGGACCAGGAGGAGCTCAGCCGGCAGCCTGTGATCG